ATGGGATGTAAATGTTCAAAATTCAGTAAATTTGATGTAAATGATTTCCATTAAATTTACATCGTATCAAAGAATCTGGTAGAAACTTTGATTTCTATGGTCTTCCATAACCCTAGCCTGTGTACATCCGTTTCTCACCCCTACACAGGCTAAATTTACAGAATTTACATCATATTTACATCAAATTTACAACCTTTAAAGCGCACGATTTTTTCCAGTGTATGGGTCGGCACGACACCACATTACAATGCCTTTAATAACCGATAACATTAATACGAAAATTAATACAAAATTAAGGTAAATATTGTATTCTAGTAATTGGAAAAACTCAAAATTATTTATCATGAATAAAGAGCTGAGATACCGGTGCCAGGGAGGCCAGAAAAAACCTTCTTGAGGAAATCTGGTGGGGGCCAAGGCACAATCTCCCTTGCACCAACAAGGAAAAAAGAATGAAGAAAAGTTATAAAAGGTCTTTCCTTACTTAGATACTATTTTGGGGATTTTTCTTGTACACTTTAAAACTCCCGCTCATTTAGTGCATCGAAGACCTTAATTGAGCGGGATCCGAGCATCACGCTAAGTGCGACGAGAAACCAAAGATGCCCGAAATAGAACATTATAATATGAATCGACATCTTTTCTTTTAGATTGATAATAAAGTTATAAACTAGGTCTTTCCTTTCTTAGATACTATTTTGGGGGATTTTCCTTTTAAAACTCCCGCTCATATAGTGCATCGAAGACCTTAATTGAGCGGGAGCCGAGCGTCACGCTAAGTGTGACAAGAAACCAAAATAAAACGTTATAATATGAATCGACATCTTTTTTTAGATTGCTAATAAAATACTTGGAACTTTTCTTCGATGATGAATGCAGCTCTTTGCGCTGAATTAAACTAGCTGCGTACGCAGATGTTTTATCAGGTTGGCTACCGAAATTGTCATCTAGATAAATAAACGTCACATGTCCCATTGAGCGCCATCGTTTCACTAGGGGGCGCATCAATTTAGTGAAGCAAAAGCATGCACTACCTAGCCTAAATGGCAGAACACAAAATGTGATATCACCATTTTATATAACTTTCACGGTAAATAATCCTAGCTTTTGATTAAAAATCCTTTATCCAGATCCCGTAAGATCCATGCATTTCGATCCTGCGATATACGATGGAGGATCGGTAATTCACTCAAATGACATTTCGATGGCAAAATTTGGGATCTCGACGGCTGAAATTCAATCAAGCCGCATGTCTCTCTCTTCCTTTCCGCTGTCCTTTCTTCTCTTGGGCTGTCTGTCCTCAATAAGACCGAGGAAGACTGTGACCCGTCAGGATACCAGAGGGAAATGAAGTGATACCTGCGAAGGGGGCCATGGGACTTCTAATTGTCCGTTCACCTAGTCATTATGCTGTAATTGTGTGTTTATAGTCGTTAATTAAAAATTGATTGCATGTTAGTAAATATAAACAATTATAAAAAAGATGTAATATTATGAACGCTCTGATTGGTTCAAAGAGCGTTATTTTTTACGGGCCCCGGCTTTTTCGTGTCTTCCCGCAATCCTTTGTTGTTTGTATTTTTTTAAATCTATTTAGTTATTCATTTATTTTTCCATTTATTCAATGTAAATGACAAGTGCTCTCGTTCATTCCTTTTTGTCTTCTAACTAATCGTTAATTGACTATATCAATGCTATTATCAATCATTATTATTGCTGTACTTACTGTGACATGCTAATCAAACACACCTCATTGTCACGCGTGACACTCACGGTTAATAKACTTAAGTCAATATTTGCTCGGTGAGGACGCCCGATTTYTAGTGGCCCACCACRCACTTACCTAGAGGTCCTAGTCAAAGTGAATCGTCTTTCTGTTGTCTACCAACATAAGTGCTTTCTTTCATGCTTGCAAACAGACATGTCTAAGTTATTTGGCTACAGTAAGTGACATTTAAGATGGTAATGTATAAACATCGACATGAACAACTTCTTTGTTTTATTGTTTCAAGATATATAGGTTTATATATTCAAACTTATGGTTGAAATGTTGACAGGAGCTCAATTATTCTCTTCACCGACACCGCAGASAGAGAATGTTCATGTGTGTAAATGTTGAGTTACTTTTATGCTACAGTCTAGATGTTAAACMCATTCAGAAACGTAAACGTATATTCCGTGAAAACGTTTTTATTCCGTTATGTACAATTTAGGGATGTTACTATAAGTTGAAATGCTCGCCTAACTCGAAATGTATTAATTATTAATGTAAATATTGACAAAAAGCGAGTATCAGACGCTCAATTGTCTAAAAAACACATGATCACGTCCTCAATTGGATTTTTTTTATAGAATATAATATGATATCCGGCAGGTAACAAAGGAGCATGCGGGACTGATAAACCCACCCGCGCGCACCTATGATCCCTATTAATCTCATCATTACATCACGAAATGCCGGAATGAAACCAATTTTCTTGAAGAAAATTTTAGAAGCTTTTTAATATTTAGAGTGTGTTATATCGAATATTTTGAATATATTGCTGTAAGTGTAGATCAAAGCATGCAGCTAATTTTTGTTTCTTTTACTCAGTCAACGCCATTGATATTCATTCAATTAATTTCTCTTGAACAGGATTTAAGCTATGAAATATTCTAAAGTACTAAATCCTTTACCTTGAATGTATCTACTTGATGTTTTATTTCATTTGGTCTCGCTTGTAAATAAATCTTAACTTGTACATGTGATATAATTGAAAATCACGTTTCAGTTTTACATAAAAGCTGTTTTCGTGAGCAGGCGTTGTAAACCTTTATACGCTCACTTGAGTTTGTAGCCATCTTGTCGGCTATAGTTCCCACGACTTCATTCACGAATGAACAGCTTTATGAAATCATCAAATTCGGCAAATAAATTCAAAACTAATTTCTCTATTGTCCTAGTTAATTAAATTTCTTTCAACTTTGATTGACTTATAATCTAACAAAGAAGAGTGCCAAACAACACTGATAAAAAAATTATTAAATAAGATTATCGCGCGTCAACTATTTTATCCCTTAGATATTAAGAAAGCTTAATTATATCACCTTATGCCTATCTGAAAACAACATTTAATATTTTTGTCCAATAATCGAGTTCTATAATTTGTTGTGGTTATTTCTTAAGCGCAGCATCAAGCAGGGCGTGACGGTCAATTGAGTGTGACACTGYACCGAAATTGTAACCATTTAAGCGTTTTTAAAATGACTTCCAGAGCATTAACWGCAAAAACGATTAATACTCTACTTCTGTCTTGCCGTGCCGCTTTTTAAGTGTCCATTAGTTACGTTTTCCAAAACATTCTCGCGCAAGTGTATAAAAACTTGCTTGTTCACCTTCACGAACGCCTCGCTGCCGATTAGAGTGTAAAATAGCTATTAACTTGCAGCGTTACCGACCCATTACAGACTCCGTCCACACGAAAACACTAATAATTTACGTGAACACAAGCTGCTAATGAAAATGAGCGAAATTGAAGTCGTTTCATATCGAGAAACTAGTGTCGTTTCTGGGCTTCYTGTGGTGRMKGAACMMGTTCCCTTCTCATTGAGATTTCTAGTCCTTAATTTTTGTTGTTCAAATGCAAAGAGTTGTTTATTTTATAAAATGTTTTCATTGGATATACTGTTAGAATAAAGAACTCCAAGGCCTTTTCTCCACAAACGAATAGAAAAGAGCCTGGAAACGAGTCTGGAAACCAGCACACTTTATAAGGCATTTTTGTGACAATATGAACCGATTTACGTTTGGCAGGACGGCTCTTAAGATCAAGTTAACTACTGGGTATTGTAATATGGCGAAAAAATGTTAATGATAATTGCACGCATTTATTTCTTGCAGATTGCGACCAATTATTTGAGCTTGAGTTAAAACTTATGGACCTCAAAACTTCCATAACTGAAGACCACTTGGCTGCCGCATTATCTTCTTGTCTTGTGAATGGCTTCACTGTCACAAAACTCCAAGAAGGCCTTCAAGAACCGTGTTATGTATTCTACAAGAAAATGACATACAAAGACGTGGAGAGAAACGGTGCGCATATGCTAAAACAGCTCTTTCCACACGATATTTCTACGAAGAAAACATTGAAAAAACTAACAAGAWATTGCAAAGGGAAAGGATTTGAAGAGAACGCATGTATGTTTGGAAGTGAAGTCTATGCGCTTGGAGAGCAGAATTATAGAGCGTGTCCCATGTTAAAGATATTAATTAACGATGAATAAAGATAAAATGAATCATGTACAGATGTTGTCGAAGAGAGTRTGGTGATTATTTTTGCGTCTTGTACTCACCCACGGATAGTGATTGTGAAAACGAGTCCGCAATAAAATATCACAGCGGTAAGAGAATTAGCACAATGACGTCATATACTACCAAGACAAGAACTTTATGATTTTCTTTTGTAATAGTAATCATTGCTAATCCCCAAAAGGGATTTAAAGCTAATATGAATAAGATTGAAAATACACGAAGGTATTTTGGTTTTGGTAGTAAAATGACGCAAATGTGCAGTCATAAACATATCCGTCTGAAAGATTTGGAAAAGGAATTGTTATCTAGGACATGGAGTCCTTAGAGATTTGATGTAGCTTTGCTGTAAATTCTCAAACGTTTTGTTCGATAACTGTATTTTTACACCCATGTTATTATTACTCTTATTCGCATGATTATAGTTTTGAAATAAAACCCAAAGATGCTAAGTTTTTCTTCATTTCTTTTATCAATTCTATACGGATTGTTATTCATMWTTAGATTTAATAATTATTTGATAATCAATATTAATGCATTTGTAAACTTTTACATTATCAAGCCGGAATCAATGAAAATGTTGAACGTTCGACCGTTGTTTGCATGCCATTGCCATTGCGAATCCCGGCAAATCTTTGGCAACAGCTAGTATCTGCCTGGTTCGATCCTAGTCTGTAAACCACTAACGTAAAGATCAAGAGATTTTTGTTGTGCTGTTTACTTGAATACTAGTATGTCTGTCTGATATGAGAACTGTACATTTTTTCCTGTGATGAATTGGAAAACAATAACGACAATTTAACAGCTCGGTGAAAGCCGCCACATTACATCGAGTACATCGGTGTTCGGCCGCAAACAAGAACTCAGCACCCATCCCCATCCCCATCAAATAATAAATCCACCAAAGAATGATTATTCAAACCCTGTATCTTTTGCTAAGTCCTGAGCTGAGCTCTGGTTGGCTCGCTGCTCCCTAAGGATTTTGGTGACGTCATATATTAGCATAGAACTTCACCGAATAGACTACCCCCATTAGATATTACATATCTATAAGTGTCTTCGTAGTACGATGGTCTAAGAGGGTAGCTAGAGGTATGCTCTAGTGGGCGGCTACCCCCTCACTCCCTGGCCTTTTGGTTAAGACTAAGTTTTATGKTCACTCGGGATAGCGTGGAAGAGCCGAAATCTCTCACCGTAACGTAAGCCGATTCGAMGCCTCAGCTTCATAGAATGTCTCGGGGGAATCGTCCCATCTTTTTAGCTTTTTTATTTTCACATTTTTTATTTATACCGGGGGGTGCATCTTTTCCTAAAGTGAAAGTCCTGAGTTCGAACCCTGCTGCTGGAATTTCTCTTTTTTCTTTTTGAATGTTTTTTTTTTCTTTTCTTTTGTTTCCTGTTTTTTTTTCTTCTTTCCATTTTTTTTCTTTTTCTTTTCTTTTTTTTTTTGCCGTTGTTGTTTTCTCCTCTGTAGATTTTCTCTTTTTAACTTAAACATATCAATGACTCGCAAGGAACGCCTGTTACAAGTGGATGGTATAATATAGACATAATTACAAGATGCCCCATAAGGCCTTTGGTCACAAAAATGGCTGTCATGTTATTTCTTTTCTTTATTTGCCGTAGGACTTGTATTCACGTGACTGCGAACCAAGTCATAGATAATTAATACGTGTTAATTGGAAATATCAGTTACTGCAAATTTTAATTAAGTGGTTTTAGGGGAGGGCTGGAGACAGGTACTGTACAAAAGTACAATTTCAATATTATGGTTAATTACATAATTAAATGGCCATGCACTTAAAACAACTGAAGAAAAGKCTCGTGGGACTCGCAAATCTCGTCTTCGATTCCTTTCTGCGAGTTTAGCCCACCAAAATATCCAAAGTGAGCTACTCTTAGGTCCTTCAAATAACCATGGCAACGAAATCCTTAATTCCGATTGGCCGATTGGCTAAGAAAAGAAAAAATTAAAATTATTGAATAATCAGGAACAATTAAATCACTTTTTCTTACACTGAAAAATTCAACTTTTCTCGACTCTCAAATCCCGTCTTTYTGGAGTTTTCATTAAGGGAAATTTTCAACTCCAACAACTGTTAGTCGACATTTGACGAGTCAAAACAACAACTTATTGATGACACCGACGAGTTTCATTTCACATTATTTTGTGACAAATGTTACTTCCGAACGGAAGAGGYGTCTATATTGTGCCATTTCCCTGGGCAACTAGCTTTTATTTTGACATTCGTCCAAGAAAACTTAAAAAAATACATCAAACACCAGTTCACATTATGCCATGATGGGAATATACAATTTGGACAAGTTTCATCAGCGCTTTCCAAGGTAAACATGTGATTTTTTGTCAATATTTCGTGTCCTTTTCGCATCTATACAACAAAATCTATTTTTCATAGTTTAGTTTATTCACAAAATTCGATATTGCGTTATAAAAGCATAATTTGCCAACGATATTTTTGAATTGCCGTTGAGTGGTTTTTCTTTGTTTGCTTTCAGTCTGTGGGAAGCAGTTGAAATGCTCAATTCATTCTTAACAACAGCCTTTATGAAACAACTCCCGCAGTTTTAGRAAACTTCTGGCCAACTGAGAAGAAATGCCWTTTACATTTGGAGATTGCTGGCCTTGCCTGTAAGTAAAAAACCATGTTTTAACATGAATCTAAACAACAGTCAACTTGTCCAATAAATGTGTTTGTTTTTACCGAGAATGAACTCCTATCCTGCAGTTATGGCTTTTGCTAACAATWTTKTAACTCCTAAATGTACTGAATGTTACAAAAGTGAATGCTAAGTAATTTTATAATGTCAAATTAACTGAATTACMCATAAAATGGAAAKTTAAATCGGYGAAACATTGGAAAAACAACGAAAACAAATTGAGCATCGAATGTGGGCAGGTGTCAACATCACACGCTAGGGACATTGTCTCCAGCCATTGACAATTCTCAATTTATAGAGTTTTTACACAAATTCTTTCTTTTTAATACAAAAATTACCTAATCTAACTAATAAATCATATGAATTGCTATTATATTTTGATTTTTTAGTAATATTTATATATTTTACTTTTGCATAAACTCTTTTAAATTTTCAGTAAAGGAAARAGCTTAAAATTTGAAAGTTTGGCAGTTCTGTTATATGAACTTCCCTCGACGGTATATTTACTAACATTACAGTATAATTAAGTCTAAAAAAGCAGGATTTCTCAATTAAAGCATTGCTGTTTGAACAATAAGAATGACATGACATCAAAAGCTATTTTCAGTCTATCATGGTGGAACAAAAATGTTTGAACTCTAGTAATGAAGCAATAATGTCAATATATMAATTTTAAATATTTTAGGTTTCAATGACAACTAATCCATAGGATAAATTTAGCCTGATATCATATTATTTGTCAGTTTAAAATGCCTCTATTAAAAAAGGGAAGTACCACAATATCTCTTTGTCGATTGTCGCAAATTAAGAAATTTTATTWAAAAAACTTGAGTCTTTTTCTGAAGCACTCAAACGTTATTCCATGTGCAAAAAATGGCGGGAAATACCGCGTGGCACGTGCGCGCGTAGTTAGCGACGATTAAAATGGCGCCAAGTTAAAAAAGCTTACTTTTAATCCAAACATTAATTGATTTTTCTTATTATTCTWGAAAACAGACAATAGTTAGCATAGCTGGGGACTATCCTAAGGTTTTAGGTGAATTTACTGAGATTTTAMTATATATTTGGTCATACGGGAAAAGCGGTTGCTAGGATATACGATGTTTTCTTTTGGTGCGATTAATCATCATATCAYTGTACATTGAAAGGAGAGAACAAGTTTTTCAATTAAAAGTCAATCTATTTTGTTACTTGTCAGATGGTTACGCAGATACTATATTGATACGTGCTGATAACAATTTACCAACAAAAYCAGAAGTATACGTAAAAATCATGAGTACTCTGACAAAACTGATTCAATTGAAATTTCTATAGCTGAAACTTGAAAAAAATGTGTATTAAGGGGTGAAATGATTTGCTTGGTGCGACTTTCATTTGGTAATTTATATTCCTATTTATTGATTGTTTTGATTTTCTGTTCATTTGTTCTGATCATTTTTCATTCTTTTTTTTTCATTCATACGTTCTTTTATTTCCCATTTTCATATGACAGTCTTCAAGGAACAAGAGTAGACATCACTCTCGCTGTGTTATCGCTCCAGCTGTTAGTATCACTATAAAAATCCCATTTTGCTTGCTACGAGTTTTTCTCGAATTACATCACAAGTGCTATTATTTTATGTCGCCATCTTGTTTGCTTTTCAATAAATTCACTCTCTTGACCAAAGCATCGTCTTGCTTTAATTTATCCAATAAGACATCGAAACGCCCATCAAAAGCTACTTAAGATTTGCATCTCAACCAACCAAGGAAAACTTTCTTATCGAAAATAAGCTCACCCATCACAAACTACACCTGCCCCGCGTTGTATCCATGGCAACCATGACGTCTTCACACCGTCCTTCGTGATGCTTTTGACCGTGTTTATGGTGTTGTACTGTCAAATCTCTACTTAATGTCTCTTATTAACAAACAACTAGTTCTGTGGTAGTTTATTCACAATAAGTCATTTTTATTGTTTCTTGCCAAGTTCATTTCCAGTGGACAAACTGCTCGCGGCGAGGGGTCGGCGCGCGAGTWCTSAATATGGCCAATTAGAATTGTCCTCGGGAGATACCTTTGTTGTCATAGGAGTTCCACCGCAAATTCTTAGTCTGCGAATAGTAAAGACTTCATGTGAAATTAATAGGAAGATATAATGAGACGGTGTTGGGAGCATTGACTAGTGTTGGGCAACTTATTAATTATGTGAAATCCCTAGYGGACTGAAATTTCCTATACGTGTAGGAAACGTGGAGTTATCTTTGGTGTCTTGTGGGGAAAATCCATGATCTATTCTTGAAGGAACATGTTTTGTAATTTATACCAATTTTCTGCAAGAATTGCYACCGTGGTTGAACCTTTGACGCGGATTTTGAATCGMCACACGTTAAAAGCTCGACCTTAAGCCAGTTTAATTTATCTTCAATCTTTAGAGCTTCGTCAAATGTTGGTAAGAATGTGARCTCTAAAGGCAGACTGATAGCCGAAGTATCAATGAGTGTTTGGGACAAGGTTAAGAAGAGGTTGGGTACCGATGGAGGGAGAGCTCCCGGACAATCCGTAGATGCCGAAGCTGCCTTCGCGGAGGACCATTACACTAGGTACGTGAGTTGAGATATATTTTCTCTCACGAGTATTTTAACCAACACTTTTGGCTTGATKTTAAGATGCGCGGTTCCACATCTATGCTTTTGTGTGATTGAAAATAAAGCTTTTTGGTYAAGTTGTAATCAACTTTTACCACACCTAAATGTGTCTGCGATGCTCGCAGCATCTCATTGACTGGATAGAGGAATGGTTTTTATGTAAACAGAAAAACATGAAAGTATTTTGAAGCATCCTTTACATTTCCGTAATTTAAGGTTTTTACCGGACTACAAGTTGATTGTATATAAATTTCTTTTTAGTTCTAACCGGGCGTGAAAATTCTCTATTTAATATAATAAACCAGACTTCCAAACATAATCAATTCARTACAGATGGGATTTTGAAGTGACGATGAATATTTTTTCATAAATGGGAAATATAAAACACGAGAGCAGAGATGTTCAGCTGTCAAACCTTTCMTGACAAAGGCCGAGTTGTTTGTTTACGAAATGAGAGACTGGGCACGACAGTTTCTCTTCACAAAATGGCGGTCGAWGGACTGACTTTTCTTTCGTTTGAAAGTTCGTCAGGCTTAGAGCCACAAAAACATGAAGKTAGAGAAAGGTGAGCAACATGAATAATTACAAMTTAGCTTGATATAATATTCGTGCTTGGTACAGTGATGCTACCTGCGAAATATGAATAAATCAATAACAATTCGTCGCCTTTAAGTTATAGCTTTTGGTATCTGAAAGTCTTTCACAATGAACGACTTAAAGAAGATACCTTTGATAAGATGATATTTTTAGCGGAATATGCTTTAAAATATCGACTGAAAAACGCGAACGTCACCAGTATGTTTTTTTTTGGCACTGGATAAAATTCGTGTATAAACTTCGATCCCTTGTAGTCATTTGACTTATTGAAATCCCTGCTTTTGAATATTAATTTTCGTTTACAACAAAAACGGGATCAACACTTGGAAAAAGATTGACCATTTTATAAATAATTCACTGTATTTGCCAAAGCTTTTTATTTATTTTGATTTGGTTTCCAAAAATCATCAATTTATTGGCGATGACAGCTACTCCAAGTCTGGTAAGCTTAATTTATTCTGACTTGCCAAAAAAAAAATAAAAAAAAAATCATTTCAATAAACCAAGCAGGGTTGCTCTGGAGACAGACATTTATAGATTTTACAAAATAGATTTGTTTCTTCAACAAACGAATTTCCATTAATGATTTTTAAAGCAATTTTCACCTTAAAAACTATATTATAAGCTTATTGGTGATAGACAAGCAAAGATTTCAACACATTACAAGAAATTATAAACCATACATTTTCRCTACCCATACAAAAGAATTATTGGACCATATAAAAAAATATAGTTTAATCTGCAGTATTTCCTGAACCAACGAAAACCATTCTTGCTACCAACACTAACTCCTCTTGTTCACTTAATGTTTTGATTTTTATATTATTTTTACCAATATTTATCACAAAAAACACTTCCAACATTCCAGAGGTACATCTATTTCCGGCACTGTCACATGACTGTAAAGGCAGAGAAATACAAGATACAAAAAAAACTCAACTAATCTCACAACATTGCTATTGTTCAAGTTTAAAAACTATGTTTCTGTTTTTTTTCTCCTTGCCTAAGCACTGGCAACTTGTCCTGCAACCAACAAAAAAAAGAACAGGCCATCAAAAGCAGGAAACACTGAAACATAACTTGAACAGCAACAATGTCGTGCCATGACAAATTGAGTTTCTTTATTTTTGTTAGATGTATGCTGTCACACATGATTTCTCCCCGTCTCATTATAATTTTTTATTGCATCATTCTTTATCTGTGAAAAAAGCAATTGCAAACTATCGAAAATTTTCTATTAATGTCATTGATAATAAAATAAAAGTGAAGGAGTTTTGGCTGATAGAGTTCCATTCTTTATATATTTTGTTTTTGGATTCTTTTTTTAGTATTTAATGTCATCACATTTAACGTTTAAGCCATAATTCAGTCCCAAAGATGTCTAATGATTTGTGTTATTGGTACATTTAATGTGGTCTTAACAAAAAATTCATGGTTTTAGGGTCATGATTCTAAGGCGCATACATTCTTGGCTATTTTTTTTTTAAGTTTTGAATGCTTGACACTCTCTGTCATTATTGGTTTCAAATACGCTCAAACTCAGTCACCACCATAATTTTACAGTAGTTTGCACTTTCTTCTTGTGGGATTCATTTCTTTATTGCATCAAATAGCATCAATATTTTGACTTTTCGCCAGTTACCTTACGAATTTCAAGAAAAGCCAGCTGTAATCATAAGTTATTTCTTTTAGGTTTTCATTGTTATTGTTGGAGCCAGGAGAGACATACTTTGAAGATTACAGTGTCTTCTACTATCCATACGACGTCCCAGAAGACGAAGCTATTAGAAGGTTTGTMTTTGAATCATCAGAATTATCAATATTTGTTTTCGACAATTGCAGTCATTCATCTTTTAAAATTATTTCAAGAGCATTAAGTGAATGCAGATTGATCTGTGCATTTACTGAGTAAACATTCATTCCATTTGCTTTCTTAGGAAACAAAGAGGACGATTAAAAATATGTTCCAAGTCAATACTATTTGATCCCATTGATACAGCCTTTCCAATATTAAAGGTACTGTGTTTATAAACATACAATGACATGTATACTTAGAATATTGAGAGGAACATGGRGGTTTTTTAGATCAGCAAATCTAGCCATTTTTTTTATTTTAGCATAAATGTATGCTTTTTTGGATTTTGTACTGTAATGTAATGTTTATGATAATATATTTCTTAGTTTCCTCTGAAAGAATGTCTGACTATTGCTCATTGGAGTGGTCCTCTGCTTTCAAGGTAGATGTAAATTATATTTTGAAAGCTTGATCGACAGAAAGGCTACTTGCTCAC